GGAAATACCGGTGATTGATGCGCGATGCGGCACGCCATGGTTGCGGCCTCCGTAGTACCGGCTCTCTTCGTCCCACTCCAGCAGAGACGAAGGGCACTTGTGTCCCGCCCTTCCGGAGGATGGCGAAGGCGTCCGGCTGAACGGAGCGCAGGCTGCCCTCATGCCGGAAGGAGGAAGTACCTGGAGCACGGCGGTGGGCGGATCGAGCTGCGCGATCTCCCATCCCAGTGTGCGGGCCTGCTCAGTGAACGCGGCGACGAAGGCGTGGACGTCGCCTGTGTGCTGGACGTTCCTGAGCAGCTGCCTGCTCACGTGAACTGATACAGTTTCGCAAGTCGAGGAGAGTGGACGTTCGTGGCGAGGGGCTCGAGCCGCTCAAGAGGGTCCTGGACGATCGGGAGGGATACGCGGTCCCTGTGTGCAGGCACCGCAGTCACGGTCGTGAGTGCAAGCCGCGGCTGCAGACGTGCAGGCGTGAGGTTTTCAACGAGGCCGAAGTCTTCGAGCGTCGACACGATCCTGGAGGCGCGGGACTCGAAAAATGTGTGTGTGTGTATATGCAAAATCCACACCTATATTATATAAGAGGGATATTAAGTTGACGCCATTTGGTCTAGGGCCTGTTCACACTAACGTAGGGCATCGAAGATGAGGGCAAACAGGATGAACCCTAGGAAGAGCGTGTCGAGCTTCTCAAAGCGAGAGAAGATGCGGCGAAACCCCTTCAACCGACGGAACAACCGCTCGATTTCGTTCCGCCTCTTGTACATCTCCCGGTCGTACTCCCAAGGGTCGACTCGGGTGCTCAGGGGCGGAACAACCGGCGTGAACCCCAGCGCCAACGCCAGTTGGCGGGTCTCATTCCCCTCGTATGCCCGGTCCATTATCAGGAACGGCTTCTGACCCTGTGAGCCAAGGCGTGTCAACAACTTCCGCCCCTCTGGCGCGTCGTGGGCCTGTCCGGGAGAGAGGGAGAACGTTACGGCTGTTCTAGCATCCGCGGCAACCATATGAATCTTGGTGGTCCAACCGCCACGGGACTTGCCGATGGCCTGGGGTCCGTTTTTTTTAACGCACCCGTACCATCGGGATGGACCTTGACGATGGTGCTGTCCATCGAAACCGCCTCGAGCTTGATGCGCACTATCTGCTCTCGTTGCAGATATTCGAATACCCGGTCGAGCACCCCATTCTTTGACCAACGGTTCATCCGCATGTATACAGTGTGCCAGTTGCCAAATCGAGGCGGCAACCCCCGCCACTTGCAGCCCTGCTCGGCGACATACAGGATGGCGTTGAGAACTTGCAGGTTCGGCAAGCTGACGTTGCCACGTTGAACGGGAAGGATCGGTGCAATAAGTTGGTACTGAGCTTCTGTGATTTCCATTCCCGGATTGTAACATAATCTGGTTAATATATGTGAAAAGACCCTGAACAGGCCCTAGACCCTTGTACCCCTCGATGATGGACGAAACGCAGGCCCAAAAGGCACTGGCCGACGCCATCGCCCCGCCCAAGCCCGGCCAGCTCGTCGACCCACCCGAGGTGGCATGGTTCGCACAGAGAGGCGACCCGCCCACTCACGAGGGCCCGCAGGCAGTCACCCGCCAGGACGTAGTCTCGAGAGAAGCAGCTGTTGGGACACACTGCGAAGCGGACAGTTTTTGATCTACGAGCGCCCGAGAGCGAGCACGGCTTCTACGGCAAGTAAGCACGATAGTCAGGACTACGTGCGCGAGCGTCGCCGCCGGACACAGGAGATGTACGCGCCGATGACCCATCCTGCCGGAGATGCCCAGTGCGACTCGGCCAGGCCAAGGCGGTCATCGACGGAGTGGAGCAGACCGTCCACTACTTCGTGCTGGAACCTTGCCCCACACCCGAGAGACGACCGAGGTCGTTCTGCGACGGTCACGTCTCGGCCTTCTCGTTCCTGGGTGGCGTGCCCCCGGAGATCGTCTACGACAACACGAGACTGGCCGTGTCCAGGATCCTGAGAGACGACGGGAGGAAGCGTACCCGCGTCTCTCGGAGCTCGTATCCCACTACCGGTCGAGGACCGGTGGCGGACGGAGAAACACTAGACCCTGCGGCCCGTCAGAGCGATTCTCTGGTCGGCCGGATCCGGTACCCCTCGAATGGCGCCCGCCCGCCTCCGACGCCCCCGGCGCGCGCCAAGGCCGACCCGGCCACCAGGGCCACCCCCCTGCCAGCAGGCCCCGCTCTCGCAACCAAGACCAGGGCTCGGCCCGGTCCAAACGGTCGACGTGCTCGACGAGGGCGAGGACGCCGCCGCCACAACCCTTGCCGACCCTAGGGGTACCCCATAGCGGTCTAGACCGAAATGGCGGTAACTTAAATCCCTCTCATATAATATAGGTTTGGGAATTTGCATATCACACACACCATTTTTCCGCCTCTCAGCCCACCCCACGCGCCTAAGGCTGGCGGGCTCCTGCTCGATCACGATCTGGGGCATCTTGTAGGCGCTATCCTTCAGGTCGTCACGCCGCCGCCCGCCGCGTCGTCTGGCCACCCTGGACTGCTGATGCTTCTCCTGCAACACGTCGCGTATCTTGGCGTATCGGGGATTGAGAGCTCCCGACAGCGCCCCGCCCTCTTCCCAAGGGTCGGCCTTGGCTGCGGCCGCTATAGCGGCCAACCCGGGGGCGCAACCGCTCCGCTAACACGGGATTGTCGGTGGCCCTCGATGGCCCGCCAGATACGAACCGGCGGAGTTGAGGGCCTCCGGGGCGAACTGCAGGAGCCCTGCGGCCAACGAATCCGCCGTTAGGTGACGTTTGCCTTGGGGGGCTCTTGTCTCAGGGCTGGATCGTGGCGGGGCTTCTTTTCGTCTCGCTCAAGGGCGGTTCGACAGACCCCGAGGAACAGGTCCAGACGGGAGGTCAATGCCCTCCCAGCCCCGCTCGTGGCAAGCCTTCGTCCGAGACAGTGTGGGATGAGAATCCGACTACAGGTCCAGAACGAATCTGAGAGTGAAGGTTCTTGATTTTGTCAGTGGGTGGGCCGTTTTGGACGATAGAAGAAACTCTTTGAATGTGGCTCGGAAAGTATGTAGGTCCCCATTCCAAACGATAGACAGAACGCTGGGAGGGTTTTGTAGTATAGGGGCACCAAGTTCAAGAGGGTGGGATTGGCAGCCCAGCCGGTGAATCAAGCTCATGGTGATACATCGTAGAGGAGGACCGCAAGTTTGCTTCAGGGATCCCTGCTCACCTTGACTCTCTAGGTCCAAAACTCCACCACGAGCGGGCCGGCCCAACTCGCCTTCCAAGGAAGGTCTCAAGGTGTTTGCGTTTTCAATACGGTCTGGTGCCGCTGATGCTGGCGTTTCTTCATCGATGAGAGTGGGATGGGACATCCCTCCCAGTCATAAGCCGCGCCTCCCAAAAGCGTCCCGAGGTTCCCAGACGACTATCCTGTTGAGTCAACGGCCAGCCGTGGGGAGACCTGGAACTTTCGGTATTGGCGTAGGCCTGAATCCCTGAAGCACACCCAAGAGGCGAGCCTTGACTCGATCAAGCGCTTCTTCGCGTATCCAAAACCCAGGTTGTTTCTGAGGCAACAGCATTGGGGAGCGCCCGAGGGCAGCCTCGTTCAGAAGGTTCGGCGAAATTCTGAGCTTAGGGCTAGCCAGAGTCGTCAGGGAGCGTTCGGTGTCAATCCGTTCAATAACTCACCAAGGGGGGGTTTACCGTCGGTATAAGTGCCCCGGTCAGCCGCGCCTTACTCCTGTACCACGGCCCTGTAGACGTTGAACGCACTCTCAGCGTGAGCCAGGCAGGGGCCGTGGTCGTATACAACATAACTGATCCGCTTGACTATCTCGTCGGGGCCGGACTTGAGGTATCAGGTTCATGGGACAGAAGGAACCCGCGGGTAATCGGAGAAGGCTGGCTGCAACTAGTCCTTGATCATTGTCCCGACCGTGGACGATTTGAACGCGGTTAGTCCAATATCATCGAACACGAGGGGGAAGCGCTGTAGCCGTGCTTGTCGACCACGCAGCTGGGCTTGTGGTGAAGCTCCGATGTCCAGCGTGTGGGCCGAAACCGAAAACATGGAGGTCCTCAGTGGTCTACAGGATGGTCTGCCGCAGTTAGAGTTAGATTTCAAACACGATGGGCGAAATGAGGGGTAACGAACAAGTCGCTATCCTGCAGACAGGGGCCAAAGGTGGGAACGCGAAGGTCACCAAACGCACGGAGCGAGAC